GCTCTTCCGTTCCAGAGAGGTAACTATTCTCTCTTAACTTTAGAGGGTAAACAAGGGCAGAAATTCTTATTTGTATCCACTGAAGCATTACACATAACCTTTGAAGAGCAGACCCTCCGTGTGGGTTTGCTGAGCTGAAGCCCAGGAAGGCACGTATCCAGGTTACAGTGAAGTTTGCGTAAGACATGTCTGAAGATCTGGGTGCTAGTTCTGGTTAGTCCAGTGTTTATTGATGTGACCTTGTGCCTGTCACGGTCTCTCAGACTACAAAATAAGGATAATCACTGCCACTTTGGCTTCCAGTTAGTATTGTGAGAACTGAGGTAACGAATGCAAAACTCATTTGTAATATATATGATAGGTGCTTTAATTCTTTTAAAGAGTAATGGGAAACAGGTTTGAACAGATAGGATGGGATCTGATCATGGTGGCCTCAGCGACTACAGAGAGGAGTTCAGCTGGGTATAAGCAAGTTTGAGCAGAGAACATGAAAGCAGTGTCAGGTCAAAGGAAGATTTGCCAGATGTGATATGAAGAATGTGGCTTCGGGAATGGGCAGGGAGGGAGGGAAGAGGAGACATGTCAGAGAGGCTTTGGTCTTGCAGCAGCCATTCCAGTTAGAGGCAGAGATTCCAAGGTTACAAACCTGAGTGACCAGAAGAGCAGCATCACTAACAGCAAGGTGGGGAAGAGAGCTTCAGCTCTTAATGTACTGAGTTAGAGACGATGGTGTAACTTCCAGGTGGCAGACAGAGATATGAATTAGATGTCTGGGAGAAGGGGAGGAAATCTCCAGCTCAGGCGAAGCATTGGAGCCAGAACGAATGAGCTCGCCCAGGGGAGTGTAGAGAGACACAGATGTTGGAGGCTGAGCCAGGTGGATGCTCTCAGTTAAAGGGCAGGAGGAACAAGAAAGCCAGCAAAGGAAACAGGGTCCACATCTTCCATCATCTAAATAGCGAGGCCCGTTTAAGCTGTCCTGGATTCACCAGGTTTTATAGTGTTTCCTTTGCTTTTGTTGGGTAGACCCGATCCTCGATCATGTGCCCTTAAAAGGCAAGCCCGATTCTTTTAGTAATTTAATATTTAGTGTCGTGTTCTTGGATAATGAAAGTGTTTTTACAGAAAAATCTGTGCCTCCAAGGGATTCCTAATTTTGTTAAAGCGATACCCTTTCTCTAAATAAATGATGGCTTGCCACTTAAAAATGTTCAATGGATTCCTTTTTTTTTAAACCAAGTTGTTCCAGTGGGATGATAAAATTTTCTCTGAGGCTAACCCTGGTACCTGCCTCTGCTCTTGGGAATCCAGACAAGGCACGCCAGGGGTGTGTAGCCTCATCCATCCTTCTTGGCTCTCAGCTATGACCAGTTCTGACTCAGAACTGGGCTGGCAGTTTTCCTGACTACATAGAAGCTAGGATATATGACATGATGTGAAAGCAAGTTAGCCTCAGTGAGAGGACTGTGGAGCTATGAACAAGAGAGGTGAGTCGGGTGTGTGTGTGGGAGGGGGTGAGCTTATTACTTTGTTCCTGATCTCCGTGTTCCTGAGCTCTATTCCAGAACAGCCAAAAGGTGCAGGACTGACTGGCTAGGTTAGTCATGTGCTTTGAGCCTTCGAAGGTGCTCAGTGACATGGATGCTTGAGCAGGTTCAGTGAGCAACTTGGTTGAGGTCACCTTGGCTGTTGGAGGAAGGGCACCTACTCTCCTGTGGAAAAGACAGGAAATGGCTTTCATGTCATTCCTAGGGTAGCGCTCAGTGTGGCAGGCAGGTCTCTGATTGGATGAGCCCAGCACTGGAGCAGTTTCTGTGGAGATGCTGAGCCAGACAAGTGGTTATTGCTGCAGCACAAAAATGAAAAGGTTGCTAGGGGAAGGCAAAGGAGGCAGGAAGTTAAGTGTTATATCCCCCTACAAAATGTCGCCGCCACCGCCCCCCTGCCATCTGTGCAGATTACAGAGAGGAGGTTTTTGTTGACTGCTAGCTGACAATGAAATTACATTTTAGGTCTAGTTTTACCCTCAATGGATGCTTTTTTTGGACGGGAACTTAAATGTCAGTCACCTGACCTTCTAGTGGCTCTGTTCTTTTAATTAAAAGATGGTCCTAAGCAACATCCAGTAGTGGTCTCTTTATTATTTATCAAGCATTTTCCTTCCAGCAGTTAGTGAAAGGTCAGTGGCTTCAACAGATGCTTTGTTTTTGGTGAGCAGCTTAGATGAAAAAGATATACAATCAATCCCTGCTCCCTCCTGTTTGCTCACGGGCAGGACACTGTTTAATAGTCATTGTGGCATTTAGGATCGCAGACCTCTGAAACATGCAGAAAAGTGCATGTGCATCCCTTGTTACTGAACATTTCTCCAAAAGTAAACATCAGGTTGTGATTATGGTTAATAATGAGATATTGATTGTTTGAAAATGTCACTGACTGGGACGATTAGCCCCAGAACCACTAGATGGCGCTGCACTCTCATGCCGTTCAACTACAATAATTTTATTTCTTTGCCTCGGGGTACCTTGCCTTTCAAGGTTGGCGAGTGTCCTTGTAAAATAATGTTCTGGCTGAGATTTAGGAAGCTGAGGTCCTGGGGTGTCTGGGGTAGGGTAG